TGCACTGTTGGGGGGTCTCTGTGGCTAAGGGGTCAAGCCATTTGTCTCACGTTCTGAAGTTCATAAGTTTGTTTCACGGCACCGGCGTTCAGTTCACGAGTGCAACTTTTAACGGAGATCCCTGAGGATTGTTGCTAGAATTACAGAGGTTGTGCAACACTCTCAACATGCAGCTAGCTGTTCTGCAGATGGACACTGAGCCATATGGGATAAAACCCAGTTCAATTAAGTCAATCCTCTCCCCTTGACCTTTCCTTTCATCACAGTCCTGTTGTGTCACCATATTTCACATCTGGTTCACAAGCTATTTCTCCAGTCTGTTTTTTCGTGTTCAAACAATTCAATATCATAATTGGAATCCAGATCTGCCCTTTGACCCCTCTCAGCAGTGTTTGTTTTCGGGTTTCTTTTGAGCATCCTCACTCAATAATCCCTTTATTTTCGCATTTTAGTGCCTCATTTCTTCTCAGCATACGTCCAATTTAGTACCATCTTCTCTGTTGTATAACTGTTGTTACCTGCAGTTGCCAGGATGTTTATCTAATTTCTGTGCATCTCTTGAATTCATTTCATTTTATGTTCCGCTATTTAGCTCAGGCATTTGTTTTCGAATGCATTTAACTTTTATTACATGTCTTTGGTGGTTTTTCAACTTTCACTGGCATATGTTAATAACAAAATATGTGTTTTTATTTATGAATTTACAGCAGTTTACATAAAAGTAAAGTAAAGTAAAGGACCCTTTTCCACGCCTTTAGGCGTAAAGGGCATATAGGGCTAGACCTATATTTTTATAGACCAATTGGCACAAGATGGGTGATGTGGTCAGCATCACGCCGGACGCTTTTACTTTCCCGGGACTGCACCCGCTACCCAGTTTACATAATAAGCAAATAGACTTAATATGGATAGATCTCTGCCAGGACACAGTTTCAATATTTGTAGCAATTTCTTCTTCTTCTTCTTCTTCTCCTCCTCCTCCGCCTCCTCCTCCTGAGTATTCACTGGCTATAAACTCTGGTGGAAAGTTCTGGATGTTTGTCCACAACCAGACTTTGGTCTTGTTCCAGAACTTGAATTCTGTATGCACTTCAATTTTACAGATCTGCCTTTTTTGTATGCAGACTGTTGTTTCCCCGCCTCTCAGACTTACGCACTTTGACTATGAAGGAAACACCCCTAATTAGCTTACTTAAACACCAAACTTGTTGGGGATGGGGAGGGGGAGGGAGAGAGATCTTTTAGTAAACAAAATATACCAAACACATTGGAAGCACCAGATATGAACCTTATTTGTGAACGCCATGTTTAGTTTGTGATCCATAACGGCTCAGGCCCGGTCTAATTTGGGATCCATAATAGCTCATGCCTGGCCTAAATCAGGCACCTAGAGAAGAATCAAATGAATCAAGGTTGGAGAGGCAAGGTTGCAGGGTCTGAGCACGTGTGTACAAGGTTTGACTTGCCCTGACACTAGTATTTTATAATGGGACTATGGGGTGACCCGTTTGCTATGAAGCCGAAGCTGAGATTACCAGATTACCAGATTTTATAATACTTCTCATATTCTTCTCTGATTCCCTGAGCTTGATAATTACCAAGAACTATGAGTGCTGCGATTAGTTCATCGTTGAAACACTCAAAGCACTTAACACAGCAGCCAATCATGGCTGAATGACCAGGAGAACAAACTGTCAGAATGTTTTCACAATTCACATGATAATGTCTGAAGTACAGATAAAGGAATGCCCTACCGCTATTAACTTTATTATATCACCGTTGCTACATCGACAACATATTACCTGACTACCTAATACTTTAGCTCAATCCACCAGCTGTATTATATCCACTATATTTTATCTATCAGGGCAAGTCCATCATTTTCTGTGTTTCTTCCCGGAATAACCACGAGTTAATTATTTGTATATTGTTTATCATGATCTATTTTCTGGTTCTGTGTTTTCTCCATGGGCATTTCTTTTTGTTGACTCTCAAACACAAAATGGATCGTGACATGCATCTTTGACCACAAATAGTTTCTCATGAGCTTGAAACTGACCAAACACAAAACTGAGAGCCTACCTGGCACGTGAGGAGGTTCTGTGGTTTTGGTGACCAAAGAAGCCTGGGTGACCCGACCTAAACAATAAACACAAATGCCCATTAGGTTTCAACTACTTCCTTTACAACAGCCACAGCTCATTTAAAGACAAGTTTCAAAGACATCAGTCAGAACACACTGTCGTAAAATAGCAACATTACACACTTTATCAACCTTAATATTTCAAACTCTGTTCTCTTTAATATTTAGGTAGCTTGACCAGAGTTCGGTGAAGATTCTTCCTCTTTACTGCCTCTTTTACCATTTCAGGTGTCGAAGGTGATATAAATAAGGTGCTACTTCTTGCTTTTCTGGCCACCTTAACCAGAGACACATAGTTTCTCTCATATTATCATTCCATCTTGTTCTTGGTCTACCTCATACTTTACCTTCCTCTCCTCTTTTAGTGTATGCCTTGTATGGTATGGTATGGTATGGTATGGTATGGTATGGTATGGTATGGTATGGTATGGTATGGTTGGTATGGTATGGTATGGTATGGTATGGTATGGTATGGTACGGTACGGTATGTCGCCATGGATTGTATTGTTGGTCTATTTTAAGTAGTATAGGCAAGTCCAGGGTGAGGTATATGGTAAAGCTGTCAAACTCTAAGCGGGCTCAATGATAAAAGCTCCAAACTTGGTTCTGAATAGTAAACACTTGTATATTGATCACCTCAAACATCTGTTATTTCTTTACTGTCACAACTGTCCAGCACCTGAAACAGACATCTACTAGACTTTCTGCGTCAAGTACTGTAACAGCTTTTGTGTCTCACTCTTTGAAATTCACACAGAAAAATCAAGATCAAATGCCATTTGTGCCTGTCAAACAGGACCACAAACACCGGAGCACATTCTGCAGACCTGCCCACTCTACCTACAACTTCAAAAAGACACCTGGCCTCAAGAGCAAAGTTTGCAGAGCAAGCTATAGGGAACTATAAAGGACCTGCTACTGACATGCAAGTTCATAGAGGCAACCCACCTGATGGTTTGATCTGAGCATACAAAACTGAACGCAAAGAAGAAGAAATGTCATTTAATTTGTAACTACTAGATAAAGACATTTTTAAAAGAGATAAAGACATTTTTAAAAGATCAAAATACTGGGATCATGGAGCCAGTTTTGTGTATAATTTGATGTTAACTGTAAAGGAATATCAACAAAATTTTAGCCATATCAAGCAATACAGCAGATTTGAACCCCCAAAAAATAATAGTGCAGAAGGCATGGTACCAGGAAAGAGTTGAATGTTGAATTTACACCCAGGTGCCTCATTCTCTCGAGGCCATAATAATCTTCTTCCTCTACTGATTCCGTTGCTTGTTCCCAAAGGGCCTTAACGAAATCTGCCTTGCCATGTATCAGTTCACTACCTAGTGGTGCAGATCCAGCCAATCTGTCTGCCTGTTTATTACCAACTATGCCAGCATGGCCTGGAGAAAAGATCCAAAATATGCTCACTACCCGTGACTTTCTCAGTGAAGCTTGCCACTCTTCTTGAAGCATTCCTGTCTTCACCTTTGTCAGCAAGCTTTCAGAGTCTGTTACAATTACGATATGTCAATGCATATTGTCTCTAGCCAGTGGAGAGCTGCAGTGACCGCCACCTCCATTCTTATGCTAGATGTTGTGACGTCACATGCTAGGCTGTAGAGGGGACTAGAGAAACATTGTTTTCAATTTATATTCCTGGAGCAAATTTAAATCTTTATAATGCACTCTGTTTACTAGGTCAAGTCTTGGACTCTTCTATAATTTTAGTGGCAGGCAAGCTGATAGAAAGTAATGGTCATTACAAACAAAATGGACCATCCAAAATGCAGCATTAAAGTTAACGGGACAATCCTCAATCCTCAAGTTAACATGTTTAAGTACTTGGGTACCCTGATAACAGCAGATGGAAAATTTTAAAGAAGTTAAATGTAGAATAGCTCAACCTAAGGCAGCAGTTTACAAAACGAAGAATATTCTATGCAATCTTTTTTTTTTTGTCATTTTAGAAGAGAAAGAGAATTCTCGAGACATGAATAAATCCTACCTTGATACATAGAAGTAAATCATGGACAGTTGGACATTAAAAAGTAAAAAAAAAAAAGTAAAGATCCCTTTCCACGCCTTTAGGCAAATCGGGCATATGGGAAGAGCGCCCAAATTTTTACAGACCATCAGCACTCGGTGGGTAATGTGGTCAGCATTACGCCGGCTGTCTTAACTTTCCCAGGACAGCCCATCCTGGTATCCATTTGAGGCTGGGTCGACCTGCGATGCCCCGCACCTTGATAAAAATCCACGCAGCCAGCAGTGGGTTTTGATCACGGTACGCTGGATTAGGAGTCAGACTCGCAACACCTAAGCCAGGGATGCCGCACTGTTGGACATTAGTGAAAACTTATTTAGAAGCAGCAGAGATCCAGTTTTATAGATGAATTCAGATAAAAGCAGTCATGAAGATGTTTTGAAAGAAAGTGACTCATGGACATAACTGATTGCCCACATCAGAAGGAGACAATCTTCATTCTTTAGTCAAGTTATGAGAAGGAGAAAACTGGAGTACATCATGATGGTGGGAAAGTTGGAGGGAAAAAAGAGGTAGAGGGGACCCAAAAAGAAGATACTGGTAGTTTGCCTTCATGACATGAAATATCATCTGCGTTAAAACTAACTGAAAGAAATGAGATAGAAGGTTGTGGATAGAAACGATTATGAACACCACGTGGCATAGACTATGAGAAGAATTCATTATTTTCCATGAATCAGAATAATAATCATCTAATATGTTTTGGGGAAAATAAAAGTAACTGATGTTGATAGAAAAATCTGAAAATGATTTTTTAAAAGCCTTTAAAAACTTCTATTTAATAAATGAATAGATGTATTATTTCAACAGTACCTTTCCTTTTGCAGATGTACGCATTTCTGCTCTGACAGGGCACGTCATCCCACTTGCCAGTTTTCTGTGACATCACTGAACAATCTGAGTCACCACTGTTATCTGGCTGCACTGGAAAGAATATGGCAGATTTTTCAGTCAGAAACAGAGCATTTGAAGTATGATGATGGTTTCTGAACACTTGTTTGTATATGTAGCACCATAGTAACAATTTTGATCAAAGGTGGGGGCTGCGTGGTCTCTAGGCATGGTGTCCGCCTTGAGTGCTAGAGGTTCTGGATTCAATCCCCGGTACTGACTAGGATTTTTTTTTTTACCTGGGGCGCACGTAAAAAATCCCTTGGCAGTTGGAAATCTAAAAGAGAAGCCTAACTGCGCTGCCTGGTTAAAACTGTAAGGTAAAAATCTACCCAAAGTATTTTTAGGATCCTCGCTAGTGCTACAGAGCCTGTGCACTGTGCTGAGCTTCTTCGGACTCAGACTTGAGTTAGAAGAAGAACAGAGCACCTATGGGTTACTACCCATGTGCCATTATGTTGATCCTTTGTTCAAACCTCAAACTTGATTAAAAGTGTAATAATCTGGAAATCTCAGTTTCAGCTTTATAGCAAATGGGTCACCCCAGAGTTGCTCCGCTTCTGTGCCAACGAAAAACACACAGAATGTCCTTCACTGTCCCTTGTGGAAAAACTGACACAAACTGCAATCTTAACATGTCTGCTGGCATACACATGCATTAAAAGCATAAGGCAGCCATCAGAAGTGCTAACACAAACAGTCCGACATTAGAAATGCAGCTCATAACTGATAGAAGCAGCAGCCATAAACAGATCAGTAGTTGCACAGGTGATCAATTTTAATCACATAAGGCACCACCATTTTCTGAATCTACAGTTTACAACATCATGTTGGTCACAGTAAAAAAAACACACATTCCAAATGAAATCCACAGCTCACAGTGTTATGTATTGTACTTAACGCATTAGCTGGGCAACAAAATTATGTCCTCTGTGCCTATCATCCATTCTGACCGGAAAAATGTATGAGGGTTTTTGAGGATGTATAAAGGTGTATGTTTTATCACCTTCACTCTTCCACACATGAGTGAATATTAGAATCCACTGAGAAACCTTTGCTGCTTCTTCTTTGTCTTTATGAAAAGATATCAAACCAAACACAAAGCACAACCAGTCAGCTTCATATTATCATGAACAAAGAGTGAAAATTGTGGCTAAACTGCCTTTATCAGCATATTACAAATAAAAAGAACAACAATACACAGAATCACTTAACTGAACTATCTCTGATAGAAATCACATACCAACTGAATGTCTGACATGTGTGTGACCACCAAAAAACTAGCCAAAAAAAGCTGTGGGCCATAACTAAAATATATCAGATCAAGCTGATTTGGATCTTAAGTCCCCTAAATGAATTGGAGCTCATTAGATAGATATAGGTTTTTCTGTTTCAGCCCACTGAGCCCTTGAGGTTAATTAATACATACATCAAAGGCCTCCATTCATTTCTGTGACTGGCCCTCTCTTTTGAATCAAAGACTTCAAGTGTTTGTAGGTCTGCCCCTTATCAAATGTAATCGCTCAACAACTAATACTCTGTTTCATCTAATATCTTTGAGTTATGACCCTTGTTTCTCACAGCTTTTTCTGGCTAGTGTTCATTTCTGGTGTCAGATATTCTACTGGCCTGACAGAGATGTGATTTATATCAGTGCACTAGTTAACACTAGTTAACATGGAGAAGAGAGCTGGAGAATGAAGTTAGAAAGATGGGTAGGACAAGGGGAGAGCTCCATGCAAGGGCGAAGGATAGAACGACCTGGCGTGAGTTGGTTGAGGGCCTATGCTCCATTGGGGGATAGAAAGGCAGAAGAAGAAGAAGAAGAAGACTAGTTAACTTCACAATATCATAAACAAGCCAACTTTGTGGCTAGAGAGTCTTCATAAGCACATACATCACTTAGCTGATGTATTTCTGATAGAAATCACATTGCTGTACTGCTGTAGAATGTATTTAGAAAGACAGAGAGAGAGAAAGAGAGGGAGAGAGACTAGTAGGCGGGTGGGCGGGCAGACAGACAGACAGATGGACAAAAAAAGAGAGAAAAGCGGACAGGTAAACATAAACACATAAACAAATCAGGAGTCAGAATCCCATTTGAAATAACCACATTGTTCTAAAATCCTTACTGACAAAAACTTCAACTAGCTGAAACCCCAGTTAAACTCACTACAACTTACTGTCATCTCAGTTGACAGCTAGAACCTACTGTCACCTAGCTGACAGCAGGAGCACTAACTATAAGCCTAGTTGACAGCACCACAACTTACTGTCATCTCAGTTGACAGCTAGAACCTACTGTCACCTAGCTGGCAGCACGAGCACTAACTATCAGCCTAGCTGACAGCACCACAACTTACTGTCATCCCAGTTGAGAAAAGCAAATGGAGTGCCATCTGACCAGCGCCAGCCTCTTTCTGAAGCTCTGTCGTTTGCTCCAATCCAAAACAAGCTTGACGGAAAAGCTGCGACCCGTGCTAGAAAAGAGATTTTAATACACTCACATAGAAGGTTGTCGGCACATGAAATTGGACTTAGTTCCCCAAATGCATAGCTATCTGATGGCGAGTGTTTTTAAATTAGTTGACAGGAAAGATTGTATGCCTAAAAACTTTCAATGACCCAGACGCAAAAGAACTGTCAGTTGATTGGTTGAACCCTGAGGCAGTCTTGTATGAAATTGGATTAATTTTACTCATTAAATTACAAAGATTGTGAATATCAAAATTATGACGAAATTATGTGCTATTCAGTAGCTATGGGTTTTGTTTTTCTTTTTTTTTTTTTAAATAGTACATTTTGTAGAAAAATGGAAGCTGCGGAGAAGCACTCACAGGTTAGTGTGTTAAAATGGAAGGACCATTAACTAGGCTGGACCTTAAGACAGAAAGGCAGTCAACCATGATTGACTGCACAGAAAGATAGGGAAAATAGGTTATGTAAGGAGTTGGTACAACTGAGATATGTCAGGACCTGTGAGCCTTGACTAGGTAGAGGTGAATGAGGTTATGTCAGCTAAAGAGCTGACTGACAGTGGGCTTTTGGCACAGACATATGCAAGAAGGAGGAGAGTTGGCACAAACATATGCAAGAAGGAGGAGAGTTGGCACAGACATTTGCAATAAGGAGGAGAGTTGGCACAGACATATGCCAGAAGGAGGAGAGTTGGCACAAACATATGCAAGAAGGAAAAGAGTTGGCACAGACATATGCAAGAAGGAAAAGAGTTGGCACAGACATATGCAAGAAGAAGGAGAGTTGGCACAGACATATGCAAGAAGGAGGAGAGTTGGCACAGACATATGCAAGAAGGAGGAGAGTTGGCACAGACATATGCAAGAAGGAGGAGAGTTGGCACAGACATATGCAAGAAGGAGGAGAGTAAAGGTTGCTCAAGTGGTGTGTTGTAGACATTGATAAAGGTTGCTCAGGTGGTGTGTTGTAGACATTGATAAAGGTTGCTCAAGTGGTGTGTTGTAGACATCGATAAAGGTTGCTCAAGTGGTGTGTAGACATCGATAAAGGTTGCTCAGTGTGGTGTGTTGTATTCCGCTACTGATCGATAAAGGTTGCTCAAGTGGTGTGTTGTAGACATCGATAAAGGTTGCTCAAGTGGTGTGTTGTAGACATCGATAAAGGTTGCTCAAGTGGTGTGTTGTAGACATCGATAAAGGTTGCTCAAGTGGTGTGTTGTAGACATTGATAAAGGTTGCTCAAGTGGTGTGTTGTAGACATTGATAAAGGTTGCTCAAGTGGTGTGTTGTAGACATCGATAAAGGTTGCTCAAGTGGTGTGTTGTAGACATCGATAAAGGTTGCTCAAGTGGTGTGTTGTAGACATCGATAAAGGTTGCTCAAGTGGTGTGTTGTAGACATCGATAAAGGTTGCTCAAGTGGTGTGTTGTAGACATCGATAAAGGTTGCTCAAGTGGTGTGTTGTAGACATCGATAAAGGACATTGATAAAAGGTTGCTCAAGTGGTGTGTTGTAGACATCGATAAAGGTTGCTCAAGTGGTGTGTTGTACCACATTCTATTATCTTTCTCCATATGGACAATGGGTTATGGTAGACAGGTAACACCTTTGTGCAGAGGTATATCAGTTTATGCGTGCCATATGTGTTACCTGGACTGTGTTTATATCGCATACCCTTCATACAGCCTGTAAATCTGACCCCGCTTGGTCTTCCTCTAGTCCAGGGCTTCTCAAACTTTTTTCACCCTGGCACTTTTGTTAGGTTAAAATAAAATTTGCGGCACACCTACACTTGAATACTTTTAAAAAAAAACAGTGCAAATTTAATGTTCAGTTCTCTTTAATGCAATGAATGAAACTGTTTGGATGAATTTTTCTTAACCTTTATGTACTAAATCAGAATGATTGCATTCTAGATGACTCTTTAATTTGGACGGAACCAAGCAACTGTTAGCAACATGTGTATGGCAGTTAACGCATTGCTCTTCTGGTGTCTGTTCATTCCCAACCGAAACAAAGCCAAAGTGACCTCGCTAGAATCATATTTTCATAGTTTTCCTTGGATTTTCTTTTGGTCGTGAATTGCCTTTCTGCGTACTGAGGTTAACTAACTGGGGTGGCTTAGGCTTGCAGGTGTCTCCTGAGACAATGTAACCACAACTTTACTTATCGACAGCACCTTAACGAATGCAGGTAGAGAATCGGTCGCACCTTGAGATAAATACAAGGACAATTCTTAGCACGTTGCGGTTGGAATTTTATGCCCACGGCTGAGTGTGAAACAAGCAATAAAATCTTTTTGGCAATGGCAAGGGAAGACAACTTAAATTTTAACTCTTAAGTATCTGCCTGCCATCTTTAATAATATCAAAATGCTAAGCCAACTTTTCTTGATTTTTGGCACGGCCCCCCTGGCATGTGCTCGTGGCATCCCAGGGTGCTGCGACACCTAGTTTGAGAACCACTGCTCTAGACAGCAGTTCTCAAACTCTGAGTCATGGCCCCTTTGGAGGTTGAACGACCCTTTCACAGGAGTCGCCTCAGACCATCAGGGGAAAAAATTTACTCAAGTTATGAAGAAGTAATGAAAATAATGTTATGGTTGAGGGTCGCAACAACACGAGGATCTGTATTAAAGAGTCAATGAATGTATAAACATGTCTTGCCACAAATAATGTAGTTACATACTTGGGCCTATTGGAAAAAATGGACGACCGCCAGGACCTCCTCCTCCTCCTCCACCACCAGCACCAACTGTAGAATAGAAAACAAACAACAATTAGCCATTGCAACAATGTATAATACACAACATAAGTTTGGCTCATTGGTTTACATGTGATATCTGTTTGTGATGGAACAGACTGGGTTTAATTATGGGTTAAGAACTGACTTCACAGCACTAGGGACATTCCCACAAGCACTCCATCCCCATCTTCAGCAGCAAAGAACCGAGTTCAAATTCTTTTGTAGAGCAGTGACAATCTGATTATTTGCCCATTTCACTCCTTCCCTGAGAGTTCAGTGTCGGCCAAATCCCCTGGTCAGATTTCTGATTGCACCATTCTCTTCAGACAGTGATGGTCTATTTGTGCCTCCACAGTTTACTCGCTCACAAAGGGTTTCACAGAAGGAAGCTGAAGACTGCTTGGACAGCACCCAATTCCAATTCCAGTTGTCCAACAAAAATTCCAAACTTGATCCTTTTGCAGCCGCCCAGAGGCCTGCTGCCCGGAGGCCTGCTATATGAAGGAAGGTTCCTTGGCTTTCTTATTTGGTTTCCTTTTATTTGTGGTGTGTAGTCACACCTGATATTCTGGTTCTTTGCTTCCTGATGTGGTGCTTTGGGTTTTTGGGTCTGGTATGGTGAGTTCTCTTAGTGCTGTTTTCTGTGGGTTTTAGCTGATTGTTGCTGATGCTTGGTTTACCTTGTGCTGATCCCCCACCCCCAAATGAATGTTTTAAATGTTTAGAGGTTAACTCAGTTACACTGAGAAGACTCGGCCTGGTCACTTCCGATTGTGATACAGTCCCATAAATGCCAATATATCAATCTGTCTGCAGTTTTTAGGCCCCCTTAGGAATATAGTAACTAAATATAGCATTAAGGGGTTAGGATCCATATAAACCCAGTTCTTCTTCTTCTTCTTCTTCTTCTTCTTCTTCTCTTCCACCTTGTACCTCAGCGAAGTGTCGGGGGGAGATGTAACTTTCGTTGATGAGCTATGTCAAGAGCACTATTAAGAATGATGTTCATTTCTGTAATGCTGTTCTTAATGCCATCACTCCATCTTTTCTGAGTGAGTAGCCTGTGGTACAAAAACTGGTTAAGTGAGTAGCCTGGAGTACAAAAACTGGTCAAGTCTGAGTAGCCTGGAGTACAAAAACTGGTCAATTGAGTAGCCTGGAGTACAAAAACTGGTCAAGTCTGAGTAGCCTGGAGTACAAAAACTTGTTAAGTAAGTAGCCTGGAGTACAAAAACTGGTCAATTGAGTAGCCTGGAGTACAAAAACAGGTCAATTGAGTAGCCTGGAGTACAAAAACTGGTCAAGTCTGAGTAGCCTGGAGTACAAAAACTGGTTAAGTGAGTAGCCTGGAGTACAAAAACTGGTCAATTGAGTAGCCTGGAGTACAAAAACTGGTCAAGTGAGTAGCCTGGAGTACAAAAACTGGTCAAGTGAGTAGCCTGGAGTACAAAAACTGGTTAAGTGAGTAGCCTGGAGTACAAAAACTGGTTAAGTAAGTAGCCTGGAGTACAAAAACTGGTCAATTGAGTAGCCTGGAGTACAAAAACAGGTCAATTGAGTAGCCTGGAGTACAAAAACTGGTCAAGCCTGAGTAGCCTGGAGTACAAAAACTGGTTAAGTGAGTAGCCTGGAGTACAAAAACAGGTCAATTGAGTAGCCTGGAGTACAAAAACTGGTCAATTGAGTAGCCTGGAGTACAAAAACTGGTCAAGTCTGAGTAGCCTGGAGTACAAAAACTGGTTAAGTGAGTAGCCTGGAGTACAAAAACTGGTCAAGTGAGTAGCCTGGAGAACAAAAACTGGTCAAGTGAGTAGCCTGGAGTACAAAAACTGGTTAAGTGAGTAGCCTGGAGAACAAAAACTGGTCAAGTGAGTAGCCTGGAGTACAAAAACTGATACAACAAAAAAAATTTTTTGAACTCTCAGTCATAACCCAGATTGGTTAAAAAAAAAATATCAAAAATATCATTTTATCTTATTCTTCTTTTTCTTTGTCTTCTTTGCATTTACCGGCTGTAAACTGGAGCAGAAAGTTCTCATTGTTCATTCACTTCTGGACATTTTTCTTGTTCCAGAACTTTGAGTTTTGCAGGCACACCCATTTTACAGATCTGGCTTGTTTATATGCAGACTGTCAGTTCCATGCATCTCAGGCGATGCACTCCGATTTTGAATGAAAATGTCATAATTAGTCACTTTATTATAACTTGCTTCTTGAGGTGGGAAGCTCAAAGATAACAATAATACAGAGAGAAGCCAGATGCCCGGATTAACCAAGGTTTTCAAGATAGGGGACGACCACGAGTTATCACGTGGAACCCACAGAGAACTACCACAGGTCGCTACGTGGAACCCAAGAACAACCACGTGTTGCCACGTGGAACGAACACTGGGTATAAGACCAGACCCCAGTCTGATTGATCAGACAGTATGTGTTGACCATCAGAACGAGAGTACGTGAGAGTGTTCGTGCGAATGAGAACATGAAACTGGTTGTTGCGAGAGGAAGACCAGATGACAACATCCATAGAAGCCAAATCAGATGTGAAACTTGATGAAATGACCAGATCCATCTAGATGACGAACATTGGTTGGTAAATGTGTGAGCAGTCAGCGTGTTGGTGTCTGAACAATGTGTTGCGTGAAAGCTGTTGATTAGGACATGGACAGGACAACATATGTCAGTGATTAGATGTCAATAAACAGTTTTGTATCTTGGAGACAGTGTCGGCTTGTCACAGCTATGTCATCTGAGAGTGTGTATAAGATCATCCACTAGACATATCATTCCCCTAGATGACGACATATTGCACTATTGAAATTTTACAAAACAAGGTACAGACGTTTTAGTAGCGAGGTGCGCATGTAATGGCTGTCATTGCTGCTTGCACTGTCCTTTACAAAATTAAAAATAAAAACATACATTATTTTACCATTTATTTTTTTTACTGAATACTATGTTTTACAAATATGTCACTCTGTTCACATCTTGTTGAGCATGTAACTATTGTTAATAATACTAACATAGCAAAAAGGATTCTCGCTGTATGCTTACACCATTTATAAAGAAACAGTAACGTGTGAAAGCTAGCAGTTACCAGTACATCTATGCTAGCTACATATGTATTGTCTCAACAGCAAAGCAACGAGAAGGAAATTGCCATGTGGACACTTTTCCAGTGTAATCGTTACCTGCTAGACCTTACACATGCAAATTAATCATCCCTTGCCACAGACATTAACAACTGAACTAAATGTGCAGCTTATGATTGAATTCTTCGGGCACAGAAACAAACGGAAACTGTTACTTACAGGGAAGCCTCTGGCAGATAAATCTGTTTGTTGTGTTACAATCTAAATCATCCCATCTATCTCCCTTGTTGGAATCAACAACAACACAGTTCTCGTTTCCATTGGAGTTGTTGGGCGCCCCAGTGTTCCATCTTGTAAAATTTGCCTGCAGATCAATATAATGAATATGTTTGTTTTGGTGTTTTGTTGTTGTTTCATCTTTGGTCATTTTCTTGTTTAGTCGATGTCTATTAACTCTTTGAATTCCAGGTGGTTTAGCATCACAGACCAAATGGGTAGTAAAGAGACATAAAATGGACATGTCATACGTTAATTGGGCTTCTAGGTAGGAACCTACGAACATATGATGCGTTCTTTGAGACTCAAAGAGTTAATGTCTTGGGATCCGCCATGGTGTAGTGGTTAAAAGCTCATCTGTGGATTTGAAGGTCATCAGTTCAGATCCTGATGAAGCTGACCTGTTTTTTACTTTTTTTATTTTATTTTTTTATTTATTAACTAGGCTCATACGTTGACCCAGCCTTGAATGAATACCAAGGTAAAATCCTGGGTAGTAAAGGTGACCGATACAATATTTTTACGACATGCTTGTGAGGGACAATGATTCTCTCCTTTTTATCACCCCAACTGGGATTTCGGAACCCACCTGGGAATTACCACTCATTCCCATTTAAAGGTTTTTTTTTGGTCAAGTATTTAATGATAGAGTTTAGTATATCACCAGAATATGACATTGTAATGATGTGCACACATTCTAAAAGTGAGACGCATTCTGCATGCACTAAACCTGAAAAAAAAATTCTCCTGTCGAAAATTAAAACTGTCTTTAGAAAACAGAAGAGAAATAGTCACAACAGACATGAAATGTTGATATATTATGCTTGGTGCAACAAGGAAAGATCGACTTAGGAATGATATTGGGAAAACAGTCAGCCCAGAACCAATACTAACTTCATTGGTAGACAACATATCAAATAGCTGGCTATGTGACCAGATTAGCAACAGTTATGGCACCAAAGAGAGCAATGTTATATAGATACAGTGGTAACAGAAAGAGAGGTAGACCAAGCAGAAATGCATAGATACAGCGGTAACAGAGCCAGAGGTAGACCATGCAAAATATGGATAGAAACAGAGGTAACACGGCCAGCGGTAGATCATGCAGAAGAAGTATAGATACAGAGGTGACAGAGCCAGAGGTAGATCATGCAGAAGAAGTATAGATACAGAGGCAACACAGCCAGATGTAGATCATGCAGAAGAAGTATAGATACAGAGCTTTTTGAGCCAGAGGTAGATCATGCAGAAGAAGTATAGATACAGAGGTAACACAGCCAGAGGTAGATCATGCAGAATAAGTATAGACACAGAGGTAACAGAGCCAGAGGTAGATCATGCAGAAGAAGTATAGATACAGAGGCAACAGAGCCAGAGGTAGACCATGCAGAAGATGCATCTAAGACACAGAAAGTACTGTATTTGAAACAAACAGGGCTGAGTCAGAGATCTCTTCTTGACCTGGTGCTGCAAGGCATTACACAAGTAAAGAACAGAAGAAGAAGACATCTTCAAGTTACCAAATGCAGGAAAAGCATGTCTTCATTATAAATTCAATATGGTGAACAAAAATAAAATCTCCAACCTTTGTCCTATCATCCAACCATACGTATGTTCCTTCAGTTCTCCGATCATTTAAGCCGATCCAGTAGACTCCTTTATTTGCATTAATCAGATCTGAAAATGTAATAATGCAATAATAAGTTGAAAGAAATCTATTTTGCTCTAAAAAAAATATAAAGGGGGAAAAAAATCTTAACAACTACTTCTTCTTTGCGTTCATCGGCTGTAAACTCTGGCTGAAAGTTCTGGTTGTTTGTCCACTTCTGGACCACTTTTGTCTTCTTTCAGAACTTGAGCTTTGTGTGCATATCCATTTTACAGATCTGGCTCATTTGTAGGCAGATGGTTGGTTCTCACCTCTCGGACAGATGCACTCCAATTTCAAAGAAAACACTCCTAATTAGTTGACTCTCTGTGATATGCTTGTTAAAGAGATGGGGGAGGACAATGGGTCTATTCCACACAGGGAAGATTTGAATGATTGAATCACTATTTGAGCAGTTTTGAACAAATTAATTTCTTCAGGCCAAAATTAACTGATTTAGAAATGTCATTATTAGAAACAAATCCTTTGAGGACCAACAGTTAAAAGAAAACAGAAAAGAAGACAAAAAATCCTCAGTTGTCCCAGTTTAAAAAAAAAAAATTTACAGCTAATGCTCAAGTTGAAGCATAGATTAAAATACAAGGAAGCTTCAAATTAAAACTTCCAAGATGCAAACAAACATGGCAATGTCATAATGACAGTTTGAAGATAGACACCCCACTTTTGACATGCACCAAAATGGAGCAGCGTTCTGTTATCCATTTTTGATCAGTGCTCAGTCTCTTCATTTTCAGCCCATGGTAGTAAAACCCAGGTTTTTTTCTCCAGTAACAATTCTTGACAGGAAACCATCATATTCTGCATGGAAGGTCAGCCTAAGTTCTTGACAAGCATCAGTGCACCACTGTTTCAGCTCTGGAGTAAGCTGCCATGGCACCCACCTTGCACACACTTTGCGGTCTTCAACACATCATGGATGATGTGGTGTGTCAAGATGTGCTGCAGTGACACTCACTGATGTGGTGTGCTGAGCCTTGACTGATGTCAAGATGTGCTGCAGGGGCACTCACAGTTAATTGGCAGTTTTCCTGTATCAGACCCTTAACTCTTTGAGTCCCAAAGAACGCATCATACGTTCATAGGTTCCTACCTAGAAGCCCAATGAACGCATAATGCGCCGATTTTATGACTCTCTTTACTACCCCCTGGGCCAGTGCTGCTAAACCCCCTGGGACTCAAAGAGTTAACTGCTTCAGTCAACTCCAAGATCTACTCAGTGTGCCTGACCAGGTCATGAACAGTCTGTCCCAGAAGTGACGCCATTTTGAAACTTCCTAGCCCAGTCAACACTTACTGGACTGTCAGGCACACATCACCACTGGATCTTCACTCACTGCTGAATTTCTTTAGGTTTCATCCCTTCACTGATTAAAAAAAAAAAAAAAAAAAGAACACTTTAATGCCTGTCAAAAGTTGGGTGGCCATCTTTAAATTGTGCTTATGATGTCACGGTGTTCATCTGTACCATAATGTCATTGCTTAACACTCTTGACATCCGTAACAACAATACTTACAGGTTACAAGACAATGGCATGCTTATTGTAATTTCTAGCACACTTTAGGAGTTTTCATTTCAAGCTGTATGTGGTATGTGCATGCATCGTGTGCACACGTGCGTGTCTACACCCATCTTTATCAAGTAATAACTGAGACTGAATGGATCATTCTTCTTCTTCGTTCATCAGCAGATGTAAACTTTGGCAGAAAGTTCTGATTGCTCATCCGCCTATAAACTGTAGTCCTTATTCCAGAACCTGTGTGATACATGCACATCCATTTCATAGATCTGACTTACCTGTATGCAGACTGTTGGTTCCTTGCCTGTCAGGCAGATGCATTCTGACTTTGAAGGATGTCCCTAATTAGTCAACTCCTATGACATGCTTACTGGAGACACAAGTGGGTGTATTCTTGTTTTTCCCACAACAGGAAACAGAACCCACAAAGGTGTGTTGGGGGATGGGTGCGTTTTTAAAGGAGTTATGGATAATTCACATTCAAATATATTTCTGTGCTGACAGCTGAGCTGAGACGTCAGTGAGGTTCCATTAAACTGCATGAGGTAGCTGCTCTGACCAGCAGACAAGTCATCAAATAAGAGAAATGTTAAACATTTAAAGGTATGGCAGAGACCCATTTTCTCCAGTGGGTGCTCGGGAGCACACTGTATTTTTAATTCCTTTTCTGTATTCTTCCTTGAAAGAGTAGCTGGCGCACCGTGTTTTGATTTACATCCAGGACGCAATATCTGCGGGAAAAGTAGGAACCATATTAGAAACTTTTCCAACACACTTTATGTCACTCTTTAAAATGAAAGAAAAATAAATGCTAATATTATTTTAACATACAGATCAATAAGAGAGCGGTCAATGTGTAGTGGCTAGACACTGACCTGCAGATCCAAAGGTAGTGGGTTCGAATCCGTACAGAGCCTGACATTTTATTTAATGACCTCGACTCCCAGGTCAAACATAGCCTTAAATGGGCACCAGTTTAAGTCCTGGGAAGTAAAGGCGGCCGGCATGATGTTGACCACACCACCCATTAAGAACTGATTGGTCTATAAAATATAGGTCTAACCCTATATGCCTGAAAGTGGGGGAAAAGGTCCTTTATATAGAACAAGTTTCTCAAGTTTCTAGGACGTAATTTTGAATTCAGTTTCTCCGGCATGTACAATATCCTTCTTCCACTGCATCATGTTATAAACATGTTCTTTCAATCAATCAATTAGGTGCCATCTCCACAACAAAGGCTGGCTACAAGAGATCACATGCTTTGTCTCTTGTCTTGGGTATACACTTTCTCAGACTGCTCATTGTCCATCTCTTGGCACATATTTTACTGGCACCCATTTTATTAGTACCCGCTTTACTAGTACCCGCTTTACTGGTACCCATTTTACTGGTACCCATTTTACTGGTACCCATTTTACTGGTACCCATTTTACTGGTACTCATTTTACTGATACCCATTTTAGTGGCACCCATTTTACTGGTACCCATTTTACTGGTTCCCGTTTTACTAGTACCTATTTCACTAGTACCCATTTGACTGGCACCCATTTTTGTGGCACTTAAAATAAGACAAATACTGGGCAACCACGGGTCACAACAGATTTAAAAAGTCAAGGAGTCTTCATGGCAAAGTTGTCAAGCTTTTTGTCCTGCGCTCTGAAGGCCATGTGTTCTTTCATGGCTGCATTATTCAGTTCAAGGGTGCAATTTTTTTATGGAGATACATGTGGATCATCTTCTGAGCTACAGTGTTCCTGTTTTATGTGATGCTCTCAGCAGGGGGCCAGAATTTCTGCAGGGAGAGACCAAACCATATGGGATAAATTTAGGCGCAATAAAATTTATCCATTTGGCTTTAACTTTAAAAAACTTAGGTTCCCATTTCTAAGAGAATGTGGCATGTCAGAGCTAATGACAGTTGGTGTGTGAAATGGCCAGTACCACCTGGCAGTATCTCTTCGATAACTTTCTAATATGCATTTAATGAGATCAGGTTGATAGCATGTGCCCACAAAAGAATCCTACCCAAAATGGGATTAGAGACCCACTTCCAGCAGCTGGGTGCACTAGACAAGACGATAATCACCATGTGGGTTCTAGTGACCTAGTTTAGTCGGGAAAAGTAATAGTGGAGTGCTTCTGCCTGAGACGCAATGAATCAACAGTTTGCATACAGAAAAGCCATATCTGTAAAACAGATCTTCTCCGAAAACTAAAGTTCTGAAACAAGACCCAAGTCCAGAAATGGTGAACAACCAGAACTTTCTGCTGGAGTTAACAGATTGTGAACACAAAGAAGAAGAAAAAGAAGAAGACCAGGTGATACCTCTTGAAGCAGTGGCTATAACTGTTCATTGTTCATTTACAGATCATCTTTATCGCACATCTGACATGAGCATAAATGCTCCGATCTCCACCTGAGTATGTCTCTAAGTGTTTTTAACCTAACAATTCCCATTCTGTTCTGGCTGATATAATGACGGATGGCTTCCACATTGTCTTTCTGTCTCATAGCTCCAACTGGTACACCCAGGGTATGCAGGCAATTCACTGAAAAGTTATAAATGCTATAACTAAACCTGAAGAATCCATTTATTTTTGTCCCAGGCATGATCAGTGAGCATAATTCCATGTATCATTTGCTGTGGGAGACAGAAAACCTGTGTTTGCGTCTGTAGTGAAACAAACTGAAACAGCACAAACTACAGAAATAAAGTGGCATCTGACTTACGAGGAGTGGTTGTGGCAAGTGGCGGGGCAGTAAGATCTCGCTGACAAATGAAAGCATTGGTTTGGTTACAGTTGGTGGTTGTTCGCCACCGGAAGTCATTACCTCCTGCGTTGTTTGCTGCAAAATAATCATGGCAAACTTGGTTAGACAAATATGATTGCTGTATTCAGTAGTTACATGAACATCAATAACAAAATTAACTCTTTCACTCACATACAGTTGTTACTTAAACACTTTTTATCCCGAAATCATTATCATTATCATCTTCATAAAACACTCCTGCCATTAAGTCTCGTGGGGAGAAAAAATTTGCAATCCAGTGCACGCTGGCTGCCACTGGCTATTATCATGTCATAAAGGTGTAAAGTGTCTTTATGTTGTCGATCCATGTTTCCATAGCCATCCTCTTGCTCTTGTAGCTGATCTTCTGAGATGTAGTGTTTGTGATGGTATTTGATCTTGCTGCATTCTAACGAGATGGCCAAATGGTTAAGTTGGCGGCTTTTCTCAGGCAACTCATCTCACATATGGTAATTTTGTGCACATGGGCTTTAGTTATGCAGAGCACTAGTAGCCCAGTGTTAGAATGAATAGGATATTTATAATCTCTTTCTTTACGCTTATACTTATGTTTGAATACCTTAATAATGGTGACAATTGGTATATAAGCCGCCAACTTAACTGTCCGAGACAAAGTTAAAAATGATATTATCAGACAGAATGTAGGAACAACACCAAGCAGCAAATTCATGGAGAAACAGAAGATCTAATGGTTTGGTCATTCAGTAAGAATACAGCCAGAACAACTACTGATGAAGGCACTACTCATGAAAAGATATAAAGTGAAAGCAAGAGGCTGCCCTAGGAGATTATGGATTAATGACATTAAAAAGCTACTACACTGACACGAAATGACAACAGCCATTGCGCCCATCAAGCAATAGATCGCAAACTGTTTCTCCCCCACATTGCTTAACGGCAGAAGTGGAAGTTGATGATATAACATTCTTCTGTGAAGAAGACACCGGTAAACTTTATTATCTTTGGAATGATCCAGAAATACATGGTGAGTTGTTTGGGACTGAAAGAGTTAAAAAGTCATGTTGAATCAATGTACTTCAGTAACGTCATCAAATGTGTAGGCCATATGTATTCAATAATACTCCTCTATCAACTGCTGGTCAGTTGAAACTGAAGAGATACACAAGATCTTATGGACATTATTACAATGCAGAAATCTCAGAAATTAAGAAACTAAAAGACCATTTATGGCATAGTCTTTAATAAGCTAGTTAATTCATTAATAGATTATACCCATCGCTCATCAAATCATTCAGTCCATAAGTGCTCAGAATCCCCTCGTCAATAAATCCTGCAGCCTGTAACGGCTGATGACACCAGTTCTGCGTTGGTTTCTTATTCTTCTTTGGCTTCCTGCATATTGCTCTTGTCTGGCCACACCACTTTTAATATGTTGTTTTTTGCAGCCTTATCATGGCTGCTGGTTCACAGTCATCACTTGGTTCTCACAAACTTCTAACTTCTCATAGAGCATTCAGAATATCAGCATGATCTATGCCCTTGTCGGCCCTTCACAGGTGCTTTACCAAGCCAATCAGCCTGCTCATTTCCTTGCATGCCTATGTGCCCTAGCACAAAAATGAAACTTATCTTTGTGAAATAAACTGAAATAAGGATCAGACCCTGCAAGGGTTAGTAGACGAGGTGAGCACTGAAAACTGCTGGCAACAGATTAAAATCATTTTTTTTTTTAAAATTACGTATAATCCTTCTAATTCTTCAGCATTCCAACCCTTGAGGTTCACTGTTGCAGATATCACCTGCCTCCATAAATCTCTCTGATTTACCTTCTTTATTCAGTTGGTTCCAAGGGCATCTCTAGGTCTGCATATGCAGATTTATTTTATCTCTCCATAATATTCTTGGTCTGCCTCAAAGTCTTCTCCTATTCAACTCATTTGTCTCTTTTATCTACCATCCTTTCTGTATGCCCCAACTATTGTAGCATATTAGCCGTACATGATGCCTGTAATTAGTAGTGATCTAAATTTCTTCTTCTTCAGCCCTTGAGGTAAATTGCTGCAGATATCACCCGCCTCCACTCATTTCTCTTCTTCTTCTTCGCGTTCACCAGCTGTACACTCTGGCGGAAAGTTCTGGTTGCTCGTCCACTACTGAACTGCAGTCCTGCTCCAGAACCCGAGTGTTGCGTGTGCATCAGTTTTACAGATCTATTCTCTTGAATACAGACTGTTGGTTCCTTGCCTCTCCGGCAGATGCACTCTGACTTCAAAGGAAGCTCCCCAATTAGTTGACTCTTACGACATGCTTTTGGGGAGGCAGTGGGTCTATTCTTGTTTTCCCCACAATGGGGCCCCGGAACCCACACGGGGGACTCATTTCTCTGGTCAGCCTCCTCTTTCCAATTGGTGACCCAAGTAGTGATTTAAACAGATTATGAAATTCTTTATTGCTTCTGCCTCTCTGTTCTCCTCTGTTTGCATCTTTGATGGGTTCATGTTCTCAAATATTTGTAATAAGGTTGTGTCTCTTTAAGTTATACTCTGTGTATATTCCTCGGGAAAGAAATGAAGACATAAAACTATTAAGCTCAATAGATATGTGTCAACTAAAGTGAGAATATTGAACTCTAATGTCAAATCAATGGTGTTATATGGAGTAGGTACATAGAGAGTAACTGAAACAAATACTGATATAAACTACATACATTCATTAAAGAGTGACTGCAAAGGGAATAAAATGGTTTGACAGACTGTTAATGTGGAGCACAGGGGAAAAATAAACAAATTCCAAAGAATTAAGAGTCGAGAAAAGGACGCCGGCGCCGGACAGCACACACATTAAGAAAACCAGCTAATAAAACTTTTTCTTCTTCTTGTGTTCGCTTTCTAATTTACACTGAGAGACAAGTTCTTGCGATAAACTTGAGAGTATTTAGGAGTAATTCCATACAACACTGAGTGCAGTGTTGACTCATTTGGCCAGTATTCCCTTCTCAATAGTCTGTACAAGGGACATTCTTACAGGACATGTTCTGTAGTCTGCACACCTAACCCACAAGGGCACAGTGGTGAACTACTTAAACGAAGCCTGTGCATATCATAAAATAACTAAGATATTCTTGTACTGGAAACCACAGGAAAGAAAACCCTTGTGTAAGTTAAGGACATTTTTCCATGCCTTTAGGCATATGGAGCAAATAGGGCTAGACCTATATTTGATAGAACAATTGGCATGTTCAATCAATCAATCAGGTGCCGTCTCCACAATGAAGGTTGGCTGCAATGGATCTCCAACAAGCCCTGTCTCTTGCCCTTGATGTACACTCACTCATACTGCTGTTCGTCCATCTCTTGATGTTATCCTCCCACTTGTTACGCTGTCTGCCTTTTGCTCACCTACCTTGAACCTTTCCCTCTAGGATGATCTTTACAATACTGTTATGTCTTTTAATGTGGCCAAAATATTTCCCCCATCTCTTTTTTATTTCACCTAGCAACTCTCTTTTCATTCCCAATTTCCTCAGTACCTCTGTATTTGATAGCTTTTGTTTCCATGAAATACGACCTAATCTTCTGTATATCCACATCTCCAAAGAATTGATACGATTTTCCAGTTGTTTGTTCATTGTCCATGTCTCTGTGCCATACAGTAAGGTTGAGAATACATAACATTTGACAATTCTCATTTTTAATGTATTGCTTATTTCTCTTGATGTCAGTAACTTTTGCATGTTGTTAAAAATGTTTTTGGCCATCCCTATTCTTTTCTTGATTTCTGTTTCACTTCTGCCGTCACACGTTATTACTTGTCCAAGATATAAGACATTTTTAACTTGTTCCAATTGGCATGTTAGGAAAGACCAAAAGTCAAATATGAAGACCAAAAGTCAAATATGAAGACCAAAAGTCAAATATGAAGACCAAAAGTCAAATATGAAGACCAAAAGCAGAAATGGGTGAATAAGAGAGACGGATAGGCAGTGAGCTCCACTATACAGGAAATACTAAACCACTTGGAATAAGTTGAGGGCCTAAACTCCAGCACTGAGGCAAAGTAAAAGTAAAAAAAAAGTAAAGATCCCTTTTCACGCCCTTTAGGCACATCATGCAAATGGGAAAAGCACCAATATTTTTACAGACCTATCGGCACTCGGTGGGTAATGTAGTCAACATTACGATGGCCATCTTAACTTTCCCAGGACATACATCCTGGTACCCATTTTAGACTCGGCTGACATGTGACGCCCCATACCATGATAAAAATCCACGCACCCAGCAGTGGGTTTCAATCGCGGTACGTTGGAATTACAAGTCGGACTCGCAACACCTAAGCCACGGACGCCACTGAAGCAAAGGGCAGCGAATAAGAACAGACATCCCTGTAAGTGAAATGCAGCATACTAAAAAAAGCATGGCCAATGATATTCTTCTTTACTCACAAACTGAGACATATCCACAGTCTCTCCTGTTGCGGCTGCCTCCAGAGTTGCGATTACCAAAGTTTCTGTAAGTTCCTACTGTTGGTCCTCCGACCCAAACCCACTGTCCATTTGTATTGTTGTCTGTTGACATGGGATGAGAACAAAATGGTTAATGATCCCTTTAAATACCCTGAGCATAATAGTACGCAACTGTTGGGGGAGGAGGGGGAGGCGGGGTCAAGCAATTTTAAAGTTGAGTGCATTTGTATTTGTAAAAATCTTTTATATTATTTTTGTTGGGCCTAATTTCATAAAATAAATTTTGTAAACTATAAATAAAACAAAGAGAGCGGTCGTGGTCTAGCCGCTTGTCATATATCCATATGCTCAAGAGGAAGGGGGGGGGGGGGGGGGGGGGAAGGTTCTTGCAATATACTCAAAGGGGCATAGGGGTTCTTGTCATATATCCATATACTTAAGAGGAAGGGGGGAGGGGGTTTCTTGCAATATACTCAAAGGGGCATGGGTTCTTGTCATATATCCATATACTCAAGAGGAGGGGGGAAGAAGGTTTCTTTCAGTATACTCAAAGGGGCATGGTTTCTTGTCATATATCCATATACTCAAGAGGAGGGGGGGGGGGGGGGGGGGCAATATACTCAAAAGGGTATGGTTTCTTGTCATATATCCATATACTCAAGAGGAGGGGGGAAGAAGGTTTCTTTCATGCATATACTCAAAGGGGCATGGTTTCTTGTCATATATCCATATACTCAACTCAGGAGGGGGGGGGGAAGAAGGTTTCTTTCAGTATACTCAAAGGGGCATGGGTTTTTGTCATATATCCATATACTCAAGAGGGGGGGGGGGGAAGGTTTCTTGCAGTTCTTATACTCAAAGGGGCATGGGTTTTTTTTGTCATATATTCATATACTCTAGAGGGGGGGGGGGGGGGGGGGGGGTTTCTTGCAATATAATCAAAGGGGCATGGGTTCTTGTCATATATCCATATACTCAAGAGGAAGGGGGAGAAGGTTTCTTGCAGTATACTCAAAGGAGCATGGGTTTTTGTCATATATCCATATACTCAAGAGGAGGGGGGAGGGGGTTTCTTGCAATATACTCAAAGGGGCATGGGTTCTTGTCATATATCCATATACTCAAGAAGAGGGGGGAGAAGGTTTCTTGCAGTATACTCAAAGGGGCATGGGTTTTTGTCATATATCCATATACTCAAGAGGAGGGGGGAGGGGGTTTCTTGCAATATACTCAAAGGGGCATGGGTTCTTGTCATATATCCATATACTTAAGAGGGGGAGGAGAGGGGGGGCAACCTGGAAAAAGGTTTGAGACCACTGATCTAGTAAGAACACAGTTCTGCAGTCTGGGATCTACCTTATTAGTCTGCCACCCAGAGTTTTGTATAAAGTATTTTCCAGTGTCTCTGATATTTCTGCGGTCCATATTTATGTAGTCGACCTCTGGTTCTGTTTCCACTGTTCTTGTAATGTCTTGTCTGATTTCCGTCTTATTTCATGGCCAAACCATTTGATTTGTTGTCTAGCTATTAAGTTCAGTACTGATATTGTGCAGACTCTTCTTCAGATATCCTCCTCCAAAAGTGGATCTTTCCTTGTTAAACCTAGCATAATATGTAAACACATCATTTATGTTGTGACTTTTTCTTCTGTCTTCTGAAGACAGTGTCCATGTTTGATATTGATAGCAGGGCATTGGTAAGAATATTGTGTTGATCAGTGTTCATATTCACACGCTTGCCTGTCAAAATTAGTGTCATTTGGCCTAAAACTTGATTGGCTTTATTGCAAATATATGGATAATAATTTTATTCGGAGGAAAATAAAATTACTTCTTCTTCTTCTTCTTTTGTTAGCCTGAAATAAGTTATCTAAATCAGCAGTTTTGTCTCTTGTATAAATTTCACTGTCGTTGTTAGTTCATTCAGTGGTCCATAGAGTTTACGTTCCACTGTTGTTCTTTCCGGCCAAAAGGTTTGCCTTAATGTGTCAAATTCAGTGCAGTCCCGGAGTACATGTTCTGCTGTCTGGGGCACCTTTCGACAGGTGCACATGGCTGATACACCTTTCTTGAATTTTGTGTACATGTGGTTACGTAATGAGTTGTGCCCTGTTCTGAGGCGGAAGATAATGACTTGTTCTGGTCTGTCCATAATAAAATAGTCATCTTGTGCTAGGGCTGGTGGTTTCCTGATCGATTTAATTATTCTTTTCTTTTGGTGGTATGTGACTGGTACATCTGACTGCACTTTTGTCACACCTTCTCCTGCCAGTTGATCAGCTTTCTCATTTCCAGTCACTCCACAATGAGACGGTATCCACTGCATTACGACTCTTCGCTGAACGCTGAGTTGTGTCAGCAGTGTTTGCAATTCTGGTAGTTTCCTAGACTGGAGTGCTTCAAGTAAGGATTTAGCATCTGTCAGCATTACCACATACTGTGAGCCAAGATTGGTATTTAGCAGTTTCTCTGTTGCTATCTTGATAGCTTGAGTTTCTGCATCATAGTTATGGCAGTACTTTCCGGCTGGTATGCTGGACTTATCCCTAGTACCATATGGAAATTCTACGTACACTCCAGCACCACCATTTCTAACTGCACTTTGTGCGGACTCATCTGTATAGATTCTTACCCATTGTTCTTTTGGGAATTCTTCATCATCATAACTGAGGGTGGCCATTCTGCATTGTACACTATCTTGCTCTTTCTTGTCAAATATCCCTTTCACATTTGTCTGTGTTTGTTCCGGAATACTTTTAAGTGGCCATCCAATTTCTGGAAGGTCAGTAGTTTGTCTACATATTCTTTTTGCTTGGTGTATAAAGCTGCTTCTTTTTAACCATCCCAAAGCTAGGTTCTTAAATCTATTTTTCATCGGGTGATCTGGCATACTGAGGAATTTTTCAGCTTGTATTTGCAACTTTGTATCTCTGCATTTTCTCAGTGCCTGTGTTTTCCCAGCTTTCTCCATTTCTAATATGGGAGTTGATTTCATCCCTCCTGTGATGACTCTGAGCACTTGATTTTACACTTTGTCCAGCTCCTTTAATGTGGTACTAGATGATGAACACCATGCAGTTGACCCATATTCCAAGTGTGGAAGTATGCTCTGCTTGTACACTTTATTGAGTATTTTCCCATCTGCTCCCCATGTGGTTCCACTTAGTTTTCTTAGTATTGCCGTCTTCCTCCTGGCTTTGGTTGCTGCCTTGTTGATATGTTTTCTCCATGTCAACCTGTCATCAAATGTGACTCCTAGGTACATGGGCTCTTTATCATCTTATAAAATTACTAATAATGATAAAGATATTAGAAGTCAATAAATGTATGCAATATAATTACAATAAAAAACTAGCATTAGCTGCAGAAGGCACTGAAGGAGAAAGAAAGTGGTAGTGGTTGTAACAGAGGTAGTAGTGGTAGCAGAAATAGAAAAAGAAGATGTAGAAGTAGCAGTAGCAGCAGCAGTAGTAGTAATAATAGAAGTAGTAGAAGTAGTAGTAGTAGTAGCAGCAGCAGCAGCAGTAGTAGTAATAACAGAAAAAGTACAAGTAGTAGCAGCAGCAGCAGTATTCTGTGTAAATATATACCAATATATAAGCATATAATTTTCTGGGATGTGCAAAATGTCAACCTCTAAAACCTAGTAAACATCTAAGATACACTACCCTGAGACCAAACAGACATATATATGTAAGTTGAAAGACCATGCAACTGCTAGACAGGGAATTATATGATTAAGGATATGCAGGTTGATGAGTTCGGCAAAATGAAAAAAAAGACATACTAAGTAGAAAAGACACACTACAGGATTGAGAAGCAGAACATAGAGGCAGACATTCAGTCAAGATACAAGGATAAGTCAGTCAAGGAAAGATTTACAGACAGTAAAACAGACAAAGAAAAGAAGTAAACAGACAATTTTTACAGACATTAAACAGGCATATAGATAATGAGGTGTCACAAACAGACAAGGAATTAGAAAAGTTCAACAGACTAATTTAGATAAACAGAAAAGATACAGAGAAATTGTAGATAAGACCAGAGACAAGACAGAAAACTCCCATAGACAAGACAAAGAAGCAAGAAAGGGAATTAAACAGTTAAGTCCAACAGACAACTGAACAGACAAGGCTGAAAGAAAAGAAAGAGATAAAGCAGATAAGAACAGAAACAAAACAAACAAGTCACACAAACAGAACAAACAGATAAGACAAGAAACAAACAAGTCACATAAACAGGACAAACAGAAAAGCAAAACACAAAACAAACAAGTCTTATAAACAAGACAAACCGATAAGACAGAGACAGACAGAAAGTTCAACCAAACTTTGGACCCACCTGTTAACCCAATCCAAAAGTTGGTGTTGGGGTGTGCGATAGACTCAGCAATCACATTTGGTTTCAAGCCAGCATGAACGATTGCTCTAGACACATTGACAACAACAAAAAGAAAAAAAACGCAAGGCTGTCAGATAATTTCTACAAACAGCTACAATATTTCTTAACATTTGTAAGTTAATTACATATATTTGCTCAAGAATTTTGGACATATAGCTGCCATTTTACAGGAAGAAGCTGAATCTAAATATAACTGCAGAATGCAAAAGCAATAAACAGGTCTCTGAGTTTAAATATATGAGAACAACATTTGCCAAAGGTGGCAAAGTGGATAAAGAATTTAACATCCAATTCAGTCAAGAAAACCAAGTATTGGGACCCAAGTATTGGGATAAGGCAATCCTGATTAGCAAAGTTTGAAGTTTCAACAACAGATCAACATCATGGAACACAAGAAGTAAGAAATAAGTGCTCCGTTCTACTTCTAACTCAAGTCTGTGATTAGCAAAGAGAAACATCTCAAACAAACTATATTTATTCCATCTCTATGCTACCAGAGCCATACACAACAAACAAACCAAAAAAGAACAATTAGTACCTACAGAAATGAGATATCAGAGCAATAAAACTGATACATACTATTGTAGACTGCAACGCCATATATTCAAAAGAATAATAGCAGAATGAATGGTACCAGGAATGAGGGGTACAGGTCAACCAGCATGAAGATAGGGGCATGACAGAAGTGATGCCCTAATTAAGTAGTACAAAAATAGGCACATGATAGAAGTGACACCCTAAGTAGTAGGAAGATAGGCACATGATAGAAGTGACACCTTAAGTAGTACAAAGATAGGCACATCATAGAAGTAACACCCTAAGTATTAGGAAGCTAGGCACATGATAGAAGTGACGCCTCAAGTAGTACAAAGATAGGCACAGTGAAATAGGAAGTGCACGCCTCAAATAGTACGAAGATAGGCA